AATGAAATCCACAGACCAGTCACAAACTAAAAATGACCCACTTTGCCAGCAGCAAAAGTAGTAACAACCCCCCATGTACGTGTTGGGTTGGGAGATGAAAGTGAAGGACAGTGTGTGCCTGTGAGAATGACAGGCACACATAGTGTAGGAGAGTGACAGATTTACATTGCCAAGCTCCCTCCATCCCCTTTTCTCTGTGGAAGTGGAGAGAGGAGAGACACCCTGACATCAGCACCTTCCACACCCTGCACAGCAAGCAGGAGGCTCCCGGGGGCAGCTCCAAGGCAGAGGGCAGGAGCAGCATGACAGTGGGTGGAGGGGCAACTGAAGTGCCAGTGCTTGATAGCTTCCTGGCCAAACTAGTCAGGATCACCTGTCAGAGGCTCTAAGGTCTACCAGTAGATCCCAATCTACTGGTTGGTGACCACTGAGGTAGTGGCTCCGTCCTCCCTCCCTGCACTGCTGCCTCTGTATCAGAAGCAGCAGTGCGGGGGGGCTACACGTTACAGAGAGGGTTAACCAATGAGCCCTCACACACACACACACGATATGTTTCTCTTGTTACATGTCTTAATTCTAAAGTTTGTTTTCATTTTCAGTATGTACCAGTCAAGGGAGATCATGTGATAGGCATAGTGACTATCAAGGCAGGTGATATATTCAAAGTGGATGTTGGTGGAAGTGAGCAAGCATCTTTGTCCTACTTGGCATTTGAAGGTGCAACCAAAAGAAACAGGCCAAATGTGCAGGTAATTTTGTTATATATATATATTGGCACTATCGAAGCCCTTAAAATACAGGCAGTCCCCGGGTTACATGGATCCGACTTACATCGGATCCCCACTTACAAACGGGGTGAGGCAACCCTGCACTAGCTGCTTCCCCCCAGCAGACCAGGGAGACGCAGAGCGGCTTTTCCCAGCAGACACCTCAGCTTGAGAATAAAGGATTGAGGGAAGTGAGGTGTGGGAGAATAAAACTGAGCTCTGGAGAAATGTTTGGCTAGAGTTTCCCCTACAATATGTACCAGTTCCGACTTACATACAAATTCAACTTAAGAGGGACTGCCTGTACTGTGTTTTCACTTTCTTGCAAATTGACAATTAAAATTTCCTCATATATTTATCCGTATCTTAGTCAAAAGATGTTCTGGTATATAATAGATTTTTAGTGAAATGTACAAACATTTTCTTTGCCTTTTCTCCTAGCTTTTATGTTGGGCCCTGGCAGAGGGAGGGATTTTCTTCCTTTGATCACTGACTGTCACAGTATTAGTTGCCCGACTTTGCCATTCATTAAAATGGCAGAGGAGGGATTTTCTTCCTTTGATCACTGACTATCACAGTATTAGTTGCCAGACTTTGCCATTCATTATACAGAGGGTGTGCAGCTGTGTCACAGGGAGGAAATGGCACTTCTGTGATAGAATAGCTCTTCAAAGAGAGAGTCTGAGATCAATTTAGGCCTAGAATTCAGGTTACATAAAACAGGCTCTTACAAAATGTGACTGTCGTGCTGTCTTGAGTGGCTCTCGACTATAGTACCTAACTCAGGGCAGACTATGAAACAGGCAGACATGTTAAACTGGTGATGAATTATATAATTAAATGTCACCAACTCAGTAACAAATATGAACACCTGGATCATAGACAGTTCCCTTAGACATTCTCTATCTTGCCACCCAGACAAGAGGAGCTTAATGATAAATAGTTAGTTACACCAAAAATCACACCATGTTCAAGTTGCTTTGTTGCTTTCAGTCCACAAGACAATCATTTACCCCAGATCAGTTGATACTAGGGATGTAGGCGAGTAGTACTCGTCGCTTCCCATCCCTGTTAGTGCCTCTGCATGAGAGGCAGCAAGGGGGAGGAAACAGGAGTCGGCTTAAAAGCTGGTTTTCCCCAGTGTTGCCTGCTCCCTTATCCCCACTGATAGAGACAGCAGCAGGAGACATGGGAGGCTGCCACAGAGCAGGCTCTGCCCACTGCAAACCTGGCACAAGCTTGGGACCAAGCAGTTCCAGCTTGTGCTGATCAGGGACCACTGCAGCTCTGCCTGTGCACCTGGCTCCTACAATTAAACTGCAGAGCTTCAGTGATGCACCTGGCTCCTACAATTAAACTGCAGAGCTGCAGCGAGGGTAGCTCTTGAACCAGCTCAACCTGGGACTGAGCACCTTCCCTTATCAATTAATCGTGAAGTCAATACAAATTGTATCGACTACACAATTAGTCAGTTACCCATCTCTTAACATCCTTAGTTGGTACTCTAGAACTTACACCAAAGACAGTGCCTGTAGCCAATCCTCTAATAAGCTATCTAAAGGTTTAAAAGTCTCAGAGATGTAGTAGGTTGTTCTCTTGAAAGTTCATGAAACAATCTACATTTTTTTTGTTAGTCTCTAAGGTGCAGCAGGACCGTTTGTTGTTTAAGTTTTATCTAAAGCTTTGTTAACTAGGAAAAGGAAATGAGTTCATTGTAAGTTAAATAAGCAAGCCTGTACACACAAATGAACCATTATCTAAATCCTAAAAGTACGATTGTTGTAATAATCTGTCAATTCCAAGTGTCCTTCAGGGCAGATTTAGGGGAAACCTCTGGGAATCTCTGCTTCAGTTTAAAGCCTGTGGCCCTATCAGAGTTCAAACAGCAGAGAGAGAGATGGAACATTTTCAAGTCTACAGGGTAAGCGTTTTTGCATGTAGCAGTTTCAGTGTGGGATGAGGCCATTAATTAACCTATTGTATCAGGATCTGATTGTGATACCCTACTTTATAGGAGGGAGAGAATTCTCGTGCCTGGGTTCACAAGTTCAGAGAAAACATTTCTAAAGTTATACAGTAAAACATAAATATATTACTATCACATGGAATACAGATGTAAAGGAGATTAGTGCATGCAGCCACTTGCAAGCATTTCATAAGAGATTAAACATAAAATGCATTCTTGTATGAATTATACTTACTTTGGGTAAAATGAACAGGTAAACTGGTCTGATTCCAAGCTATAAGTTTTAATTTTAGCTAATGTCTGTAGTCTGGGCAAGAGCTGGCACCTTGTTTTCCAGCATTTCAACAACTATCAGTAGAAATGTTTCTGTCTGTAACATTAAATACAAATAGTCCCCGACTTACAAATGAGTTACATACCAAGGACTTGGTCGTAACTCGATCTGTTCGTAAGTCAAAGCCCATTCATTTACATGTGACCATGCTGTTCATAAACACGGATCCTACGTTCGTAACTTGGGGATGCACTTAATGGGAGGTTGGTCGTCAGGATGAACGGTCGTAAATTGATGCCCTCATAACTCAGGGACTAATTCTAGTAACCATTTTCTGTTTGTATATGTATCCCAGCATTTCTGCATTCTGCCGACATAACAAGACAGTAAAACTGACTGAATGAAATGCAAAAGTAAACTATTACAATTATGAAAATAAATTATTTTTAAAAATAATTTGTTTTAAATCTAAAATGAAGTTGAAATAAGGGTTTGCTTTAAAAAAATACCATGCATGAAGTTTGAGGATAGTGCTGCTTTAAGGGAAAAAATCTACGTGCTACATTCCTGCAAAGGTTCCCAAGGGGTAGCTGTGTTAGGCTGTAACTGAATAAATTTAAACAACAAATAGTCTTGCAGCACCTTAGAGACTAACAAAAAATGTAGATGGTATCATGAGCTTTTGTGGGCACAACCACAAAGTGGTTTAAGTTTTAAAGTTCATTCCTGCAAAGTTCCTTTTGCAATTGCTGATGTCTTTAGCAACCTTATGTTACAGTACAGGACTAGCTATATATCAGTGATAAAAATGTAGCTGTGTTAGTCTGGTGTAGCTGAAACAAAAAACAGGACTATGTAGCACTTTAAAGACTAACAAGATGGTTTATTAGATGATGAGCTTTCCTGGGCCAGACCCACTTCCTCAGATCAAATAGTGGAAGAAAATTGTCACAAATCCTTTGGTATATATGGTTGTGACAGTTTTCTTCCACTATTTGATTTGAGGAAGTGGGTCTGGCCCACGAAAGCTCATCACCTAATAAACCATCTTGTTAGTCTTTAAAGTGCTACATAGTCCTGTTTTTTGTTTTATCTATATAATAGGTATTAAGACCAGTAGTATCCACAAGAGGTCTGGAAGAATGGATAAATGTTGAAGCAAAAACTGCTCATACATATATATCTATTTTATTAATACATAACAATACTTTAGCAAAGAGTGTAATGACAGGTTTAAGAAAGTATATATGGGCCTGATACAATTCTCTTCCCATTGTTTGTTTTAGGTGGGAGATCTTATTTATGGTCAGTTCATTGTGGCCAACAAAGACATGGAACCAGAGATGGTCTGTATAGACAGCAGTGGAAGAGCAAATGGAATGGGAGTAATTGGACACGAAGGCCTGTTGTTTAAGGTTTCTTTAGGTCTAATAAGAAAGTAAGTATTACAACTTTTAAATTTTCAGGAATGAGAGAAGTTTTGTCACATTTTTTATTTGTGACAGTTGAGTTTGAGCTTCTTTATCTTGATGGAAAATTGCATGCACCAATGCACTTAATGCTGCAGCACTGAATGTCCATAACCAGCAGGTCTGAATAGTATGACAAGTGCAGTAACAAATGTGATAAAATTGTTCTTAGGGAATATATTTCAACATTATTGCCTGACTAAATTATTTGATCTTTGTGGTCCTAAGTTTATAATCAGCACACGAATATCGTATAAAGAAGGAAGAGATGGACAATAAAGTAAAATACCTATAAATGTTACAAAACAAATTACTGGCATTTAAATTAACAAGTCTTTGGTATGTTGGCTATTTCTTTGAAAGCTGTACTCTAACCATAATTCTACTTACTCTAGACATTTTACAATGGTTATGAAGTTTATCATTTACCTTTATTAGGTGGTAGTGTCTTGAATTGGAATTTCTTTTCTACTTGGTCTTGTTGCTACATTATTTAGAAAATATTGTGCTATCAAACTTGTAACATATAGGGGCTACTCATAAATTTGCTGTGTACGTATTCAGTGTTCAGTGGTAAGTAGAATCTATATATAGTAATTTGTATGAGAATAACATCAGTTCCTTGAACACAGTTTTCACACAGCCTTCAGTGGTATTTTCAAGCATCCTTAGAATTCTCCCTTCCAAGAAGAACCAAGAAAAGGGACTGAAGAAACAAACTAACCTTAATCAGTTTCCTCCTCCGAAAGCTATTCAGAGAAGACAAGGGAAGAGAGAGTCTGTGGCAAGAACCACCCTCTTATTTTAAAAATTTTTATCAGCAGCTCTTTCACATAGAATCTAGATGAGCTATTCCAGATTAAAATAAATCCTACTTACTGCTCAGTTGCAAAGGAGGAGCTACAATCAATTTCATTTAAATCTGGTTCACAAACACTAGTATGTCTTAATCAAACTGTATTATTGTTGCACAGTGTCACAGCAAGGTACATATTTTTACTTTAACATATTTGGATTTTTTTTTTAAATTTAACCTTCGCATTAATTTCCTCTTGGTTTAGGATTTTTTTAAAAATTGAACTTGTACAAGAAATTCAACATGTTACTGTTTTGTATTACAATAAAAGTTTGAATCTATGCTTCCAATTGAATCAGTTTTAACTATGGAAGTTGCTACAGATACCTTTGTGCTACTGGTGGTATAAGCAGTAGTTATGTTATTGACTAGCAACATTGACATGTATTTCAGTTACACAATTTATTCTGACATCCCTTTTACTCTTTCAGGCTTTTAACTCCCAATTGTGAAATCATTCAGGAATTGGGACAACTGTACCCTTTTGAAATAGTATTTGGAATGAATGGAAGAATATGGGTAAAAGCAAAAACAATTCAACAGACTTTAATTGTGGCAAATATCTTGGAAGCCTGTGAGCATATGACAGCAGAACAAAGAATGCAAGCATTTGCCAAACTATCAGAGAGATGACGTAAAGAAAATGTTGGGTTCATTTGTCTTTGCAAGGATTGTAATATTTTTGTAGTAAGATGTATATTAATAACCCATTTTTAAATGCTGCATCTGCCGTTTGTTCATTCTTTTTACCTACCACTCCCTCTTTCCCGATCGCTTGATCTCTTTAGTCGTCCACACTCAAGAATTCCCTCCACTTTCTCAGCAGCCGTGTTTTGATTATTATGAAACAAATAGATATAATCTTCTAAAGTCTCTCACAATAAAGCATTATTGGAGTGCACACTTGTTAACTCTTTTAACACTAATATTGGTGCCACTGCATACCAATCTGGTGCATAAAGCCTTAGTCATTTTTATCCTACAGCAATATGTTCAGATACATGCTGGTGGATCAGTCATGCTGCCTACATGAATCCTCCTGTGGCTTCCAAAAAATAGGGATTTGGAAAACGCCTTCCTGCAGCTCTTGACAATGGGGTTTTAACTATTGCCTTTCAGTCCTGGCTGAGCGATGAGACCTCCTTGTTCTTTCACATGATGGCACCTTGTTCAGCGTTTCTGTTGTCTTTCTATGAGTGGGAGATGGCTCTTGCTGGGAGACCTCCTTGTTCTTTCACATGATGGTGAGGTGATCTCAGTGGGTTATTTGCCTGGCACCTTGTTCAGCGTTTGAAGAGCTGGCACTTTCTTTTCTGTTGTCTTTCCATGAGTGGGAGATGGCTCTTGCTGACATTTGATGTGATCAACCGCAGTGGTAGAATTGATGCCAGAACACCAGTTGATATTTGTACTGAGCCTGGCGAGTGGTGCTTATCTCCTTCGCTCCCTGACCATTCTGGACTGGAGCTGAAGGAATGGCCTCTTCAGCCAGCACTGATGCAGGAAGATCTGAGGCAGAATTTTATATTCCCCTATCAAAGGTTTTTTAGAATCCAGTGCTCAGTCTTCCTAAGTTTGGGAGCCCCTATCTGAACAAAGGGCCAAGATTCTGCCTGGGTGCCACTTCATGCTGTTTGCATGCTTACCTTCAGTCTTCCAGCTTGGTGATTTTTAAAAAGAAAACGAAATTAGTTTCTTTAAGCAAAGCACTTACTACAAAACACACTGTAATAGCAGGACTAATCGAGTAATGAAAATATGTTAGTATAACATAAATGGCCTTAGGATGTTGTACACTCATTGCAGGTTTCTATCATAACATTGGGAGTGTTGTCTTTTTAGAATAGATTATGGGTATCTGTTGTTACAAATGTTAGTGATGAGCCATGCAATGGCATGTCAGAGAAAAATTGAGGAAGTGATACATGGAAAGTTTTCAGAACGACATTCTTCAAATGTGGTAGAGCATGCTGCTGTGTCAACAGATTATTTAGAACAAAGGAAAATAAGTCAAGCTGGCTTTTCTTTTTAATAGCATTATTAAAACACCTGAAAGGAAAAATAGTTTGTTCTTTAATGTTGGAATCTGCCTAGTTTGTGCAGTGTTTTCTCAGCACATTTTACTTAAAATATCTCACATCTGTTTAAATGAAATAATCTACTGAGTATGGTTTGAGAAGTTGTATTGGGGTTGTATCACTAATCACAAAGAGCTGTCTTCATGCAGATAATGAAGACAGTAGGGCTATGTCTACACTGGTGGGTTCTTGTGCCAGAAATATGCAAATGAGGCTAAGCGTGGAATATCGCCGAGCCTCATTGCATACCTAAGGAGCCGCCATTTTTGCAGAAGAGGCTCTTATGCCAGAAGGAGCTGTCTACACTGCCCCATCTTGTGCAAGAAAAACCCTCTTGCGCAATGCCGTTATTCTTGAAAATAATCAGCGTAGCGGCATTGCGCAAGAGGGTTTTTCTTGCACAATGGCGGCTCCTTAGGTATGCAAATGAGGCTCGGCGCTATTCCACGCTTAGCCTCATTTGCATATTTCTGGCGCAAGAGCCCGCCAGTGTAGACAGAGCCCAGGAGTTCAGTTAAAAAAATTTTTTTTGCAAGAATCCACCAGTGTAGACATAGCCCAGGAGTTCAGTTAAACATTTTTTTTAAAAGTTTTCCATGCCGTTTTCCTGCAGTGATTTAGATGCTTTTCTACCATCGTATGAGAAGTGAGGCAGAGAGGACCAAAATAACTGCTGAAATAAAATGGTGCAATTCCTCTAACTGTAGAAGAGTGGAACCCTTTTCCAGTGGCAAGTGTGGCCCAGAGTCTTTGTAGTTAGGTTGTCTGTTAGCCATGCCAACTCCAGTCCTTTTGCTCAAATATTTTCATTATGTCAGCAGGCACTTGTTATTGTGGATCTACCACTAAAGTTATCTCTTTGCATTGCAAAATTAAGAAATCTGTTTTTCTTGAACTCAGAACAGATTCATTTTTTTTCTTGACATAAGTCCCATGAACTCAATTGAGTTACACCAGCGACTAATTGTGTTTATTGCCCACCCCTCTGTAAAAACATTAAAGTTTAATTAGGAAGTGTGTGAAAAGCTATAGGTAACTATGGATTTCTATAGTAAGCAAAACTCGAAGGAAAAAAGGATGAAACTACCCATTTAGAAATGTTCATTGCTTCTGAGGAATAAAACCAGATCTGAAGGGCTTAGCTCTTTTTAGTAACAAGTTTGTTGAGGACTTCTCCAGATATGGAATTCTAATACGAAAAGGTCTGTTGCGCTTTGTTTTGTTGCCTTCCCTAGACAGCACAATCTAATGATTAATGAAGACTGCAGCTTCGGAGACCAGGGTTCTACCTCTGGTGAAGTCCATACTTGGCACTTTACAGCACTGTAACTTTCTGGCTCTGGGATGTGAAAAAACAACCCGAGTGCAGCAAGTTACAGCACTGTAAAGCACCAGGTGAACCAGGCCATGCTCCCAGCGCTGTTAGCTACTCCTCTGGAGGTGGTTTATATAGAGCACTGACCACACTTTCAGTTTAAATGCTGCTGCAGCTGCACTTTAAACTTTTAAGAATAAAGCCTTTCACAAGCAGCAGGGCCAGCCTCTTGTCATGTCATACTGGGATGATTCTTAGGGTGTCCAGGATTCTGAGTTCCTTGTTGCTGCCCTGCCTCCAATAAGAAGGAGGCTTGTTTGTGCTTAACTGGGTGTCAGTGTCCTGACCCAACTACCTTGTTTGCCACCCAAGTTCTCTCCTTTCAGCTGTGGCAGCCCTTACCTTGCCCTGAAGGTTAATAGTGCACTCTAGTCCATGAGTCCCTTTGAAGTGTTCCCTTGTAGTCACCAGTAGAACCGATGTGACATTTCTGTTAATCCCACTCCCAGGATTAGGGGAATGGCTCCTGCAGGATCCATAGGATCCCAGTCCAGGTGCAGGGCTCTATACAAGTTTCTGTACAGGGGTCTAGTCTCCAGGCCAGTGATCCTGTGTAAGCTGAGTGCTTGAGCAGCCAAATGCCTCTGAGCTCATTAGTAAAATGCTCACAGCACCCACAGCCAACAGCATGTATTTCTACTGGTGGTGTACATCATGCACCACCACTACATGCCTTGGTCATGTAACAAAATGTTTTCTTCCAGTGCTGTCCCCAGGGGTGCACCACTGTAGGTGATGGGTCTTCCCCGGAGTCGCAGGAGTTAGCAGTCGGGCCACGCATGCGTAGTGAGCCTCTCATGCTGCTGGTGGTTTGACAGTTGAGTGCGGCCTGACCCCCTCCCCTCAGTTCCTCCCTGGGTCGGACCGAGCTCTCCTGCCACCTCAGGCACTAGTCACAGAAATATTTCTCTCTCTTCACAACTTTTTGACCTCAGCCAATTACACATTGTCTTGTTACTTTATTACCACTTCAAAGGAAAAAGCAAAAGAAACATGGGAACACTCTGTTTGCTTAAAAAAAAGCCAGGGGAGGAGGAAAAAAAAAAGATCAAAATCTCATACACCGGCAGCCTTTACCTATGAGCATGCCGGCAATTGAATTAAAAGCCCTCCACCTCCTCCCCAACTGCCAACCCCAATATGCCTGGCTTGTAGGAATTTAATAAATGTTGCAGTGCAACAAACCCATCCCAACTTCGGATGGTCATGCTGTATCAGATGTTTGGGGGTCACACATCCCACAAAAATGCGAGCACTGAAACCTGTCTGCCAAAGCAAGAAGGGACCGGGAGCTTAGGCTCTGCATGTCCCTTATGGAGAAGGTGTTACAATGTCCGGCAGAAAGTGCTCAGGATCAAGGGGCACAAAAGCCCAAGCACAGATCAGCCTCCCCGACACCTCAAAGACATCAGAGGACCAGGGTCTCCCCAGTCAGGTCCTTGCTGCCTGATCTGTCCCTCAGAATAAGCAGGGGAGATGTGGTGGCTATTTCCACCTCCGCGGTGCCAAGGTCTGCCTCGGAATCATGCACCCCGGCACCGAGCAAACAGATAGGAGCCGCACACCTACTCTTCACATTGGGAAAAGCGCACAAACTCCGGCCCCAAAGGAAGTGCCTACACATGCGACACTGGCTAGAGAAGCGGAACCAGCCCCAAAGCGGCCCTGCAAAGCCTCTCCAGAGCCTCCCCCACTACAGGCTCTCAGCCCTCAGAGAATCCAGACAGGCTTTAAAGGAAACTCAGAGGCTATGTCTACATTGGCAAGATTTTGCGCAAATACTTTTAACGCAAGTGTTTTTGCGTTAAAGTATATGCGCAAGAGAGCGTCTACACTGGCATGTGCTTTTGCGCAAAAGCATCCATGCCAGTGTAGACGATCTCTTGTGCAAGAAAGCTCTGATGGCCATTTTAGCCATCGGGCTTTCTTGCGCAAGAAATTCATGTTGCCTGTCTACACTGACCTCTTGTGCAAGAACACTTGCGCAAGAGGGCTTTTTCTTGAGCTGGAGCGTCATAGTTCTTGCGCAAGAAGCACTGATTTCTTACATTAGAATGTCAGTGTTCTTGCATAAGAACTCATGGTCAGTGTAGACAGGTGAAAAACTTGCTAATGTAGATGCAGCCAGACTGCAGGGGACTCAGGGAGAGTAATAGCGATCAAAGACAATCCTCCCCACTCCCGTCAAGGGAGCAGTCTCCGGCACCGTCCCCATCCTATTCACAACCACAATATGGACATGGGAGATGGATTGTGACTAGAGGAATGCATGCTCCTTGCAGCATTCATCTCCCACCTCATCTCAGCAGGGGCAGCACTATGCACCACGCCCATATCACCCTCAGTGCATCCAAGGTGACATCCAAGGGAGGAGGGATAGCTCAGTGGTTTGACCATTAGCCTCCTAAACCCAGGGTTGTGAGTTCAATCCTTGAGGGGGTCATCTAG